GGTCTTTCTCAGTCTCTCCCCAGTGCTGGCTTTGAGGAACCCCAACTGCAGTATGTGCTCTGGCTGCAAGAGAAGGAACAGACCCAGTGGAGAAGGCCCCCTCTCTGGTCAGTCCCCAGCAGGGAAGCCAGGCCCCCACTAATGGTGCAACTAGCCAGAACCTGGTTAGCTGCACTCTGTTGCTGTAGACTGCTACATGTCAAGCAATGTGTTACATTGCACACAAAAACAAATGCAAGGGCAATACCCGAAGAATATATACCTCATTTCTGTCTGTGCACCAACCCCAAACAGGGTATATACAACCCCAATTTAGAGAGGGGAAGCTGGGGCTCAGGAGAAAGGCTGCACAGCTTGGCGGCGGCGGGAGCTAGAGGGTCCCTGTGACCCTTTGCCCATCCCAGAGCTCCCAAATCCACAATTTGCACGTGGCCCCAGGCCCTCCATCTGTGACTGTGCCACCTGTCAGCTGCCTTACTGCCTCAGCCACAGTGCACTAATCCGTGGCGATACGTGAGTGGGGAGAAGTGTTGGTGTTTCTCTGTAGGAAGGCAGAATGAGGGAGGCTGACAGACGCTCTGGGTCTGGGGCTGAACCCATCTGAGACCACAGTAAATAAGGGATTGTGTTGGAAATGCCAGGGGCCTCGCTAACACAGAAAAGGCATCCCCAGCCCCATGGTCAAGGTGAACACTCACTTGCCCTTGGAAGGACGTCGCGGGCTTGCTCTGAAAGTCCACGAGGTGGCGCCATGGGACAATTTTCACAGCCTTCTGCTCCACATCAACACGGCCAGGGTGGGAGAGGGTGAGGGGAGGAGGAAGGGGGCTGTGACTGGTGACTGGGAGCTCATCAGCCAGTTCTAAGCGAAAGGTTTGGTGCTCAGTCATTGCTCATGGCCTTCCTTCACCTCCTCTGTCCAGATATTCTTGAAATCAGGTGGTACATCCAGCTGCCTTATGGCTTGGGAAAGCAGCAGGGGACAGCTCAAAGCCCTGGGAATCTGCACCCACATGGGAGATCCAGAAGCTCCTGCCCTCAGATCAGCTCTAGTCATTGCGGCCATTTGGGGAGTGAACCGGAAGATGGAAGATCTTTCTGTCTCTCCATAAATCTGATCTGCCTTTCCGATGGACAACAAAAACTCAAGTGGCAGAGTAAGGGGTTCAGGTGGCAGCAAAGCCCACTAGGCACCCACTGTGAACAGGACCCTGTTGGGGCCAGGGATCTTTACATTTCAGAACCTCAGAGGAATGAGAGTTCCCTCCCAGCCATCCCCACCCCACTCCCCAGCTATCATTTTCTCCAAGTGCAGGGCAATCCAGGGCATCTTTCAGGTAAGGTTAGAACCCACGCCCCTGGCTGGCAGGTTACAAAGGGGGGTTGCAAGCATCAGTGAGGTCATGACCTCAAGCTCCTCTCTCCCCCAGCCAGTTCTGGGCATTTGTTTGCAGGACGGATCTGGGATCTGGGGGCCAGGACTAGCATTGTGGAATCAGCCTCCCCTCAGGCTCTGGAGTTGTAGGGCACATCCCATTCCTGAGAACTCGGTGGCCTGAGTGGCAGAACCACCAGGCCCTGGAGCTGCGGCCCTTTGGTCCCCAGGGCTGACCCTGCTGCAGCTGACAGAGGCCCTGTACTCCGAGGCCAGGCACTGAAGGACTCTGCATGTTCAGGTGGTTTGTGTTTGGGATAGATGACCAAGGAGAAAAAGGCAGGGCAGAAAATGGGCCTAACCTGTACTCACTTGCATGAAGTGTAAGAAGAAAGGAGCGTACTTGTGTTTGCACATGTTCATCAACTCAGCTCTGGATTTAACACACTGCGCAGGACAGGCTCTGACAGGAGAGAGGAAGGCATCTCTGCATGTGCTTGTGTGTCGCCGGCCCTTGCAGCCATGGGTCCTCACAGTTTGTTCAGGGTCCCACATGTGTCCCATCGTGGGGTCTTTGTTCCTGGCAAGGTATGACTGCCTTGGGGTGTCACACAAGATGTCTGTGAACAACTCCCAAAGGCCCCACTGCAGCACAGTGGGGACCGTCCCCTGGGTCTCTCTGCAGTCCTCTGAATTTACCGAGGCAGCAGCTCAGCTGCTGGCCAGTCCACGGCACCCTCCCTAGCCAGGGAGTCCCAACCGGCAAACATTTGAACAAAGTTGGGCAGGCTCAGAGCCCTGGACAACACAGTGGCTGGCTGCACTGCAGCAGCGTCCTTTTATCGTGGTGGATGCAGTCAGAGGTAACACTGGAATGCTGACCCACCATGCAGACTGATAGGTACTTCCCACACACCTGTGTACTGGGTCCTCCCAGCCTGGCAGGTGCAGTGGGGACCTGGGTGTGCAGGCATGGGACCGATGTGTTCCTTCCAAGCTCTGAGTGGCAGAAGCCAAATGATTCAGCTCTGCCTCACCCCTAGGGTCACACCTTGGTCACACACTGAAGTGCTCCAGCCACTTCCTCTCCAGCTGCCTCCTGCACCATCTCCTCCTCCTCCCCTTCCTTTGGAGCGCACTGCTCCACTTGTGACTTTCTAATGAAAATGTCAGGCACTCAGCCCCGCAGGCCAGGCCTGGATCTGGGGACAGCAGCCAGCGGCCAGCGGCCTTGAAGCCCTCCACCTCATAGAGCAGATGTGACAGAAGCTAGGGAGGGGAGCCTGGCTGTGTGCACCTGCGACAGGTTTCTAGGGGTTTCTAGGTGATTATGGCATGGCATAGCCAGGGGTGAATTGGCCGGGGCGAGTGGGGGCTCTCCAGGGGCCTGGACCAGAGTGATCACTCAGAAAGAGACAGAAGCTGTGGTCCGAGGGAGTCTGAAGACTGACCCCTCCTCTCCTGAATGCTCTGCTTTGGGTGACTCAGAAGGGCCCCGGGTGGCAGGCCCCTGGGGTGCCCCTGCCTTTCTCAACAGTGAGGGGACTGTGACTCTAGAAGCTGAGAGAACTATCCAATCCCACCAAGCAAAGCAGGGCTTATGCACAGGCTGCCAGTCAGCCCTGGGCACGCCCTTGCTCCCTGCCTTCAAGGTCAGGCATCTGAGCAGGGAGTGGCCTGGCCAGCAGCCTGGGGCTGCCCCTTCAGACTCAGAGCCAGAGGCCCCCAGGAGGGAAACGAACCCCAGGGTGAGGGACAGAGAGCTGGCAAGAACCACTGCTGGGCTTGATCCCAGGCTTGAGGTCTCCCTCTGGGGGCAGAGGCTGGAGAGGGAAGGGCTTCGGGGGTGGCCCAGGCCTGGAGGTTGGCAGAGCCAGCTCTGTGTCTCTTCCTGGGGGCAGGAAGAGGTTGGGCCTGAGCTGAAAGAGAAGCAGCTCTGTTAGACAGCTGTGACACAATTAAATGCCCCCTGACATGCAGATACAGGTTCTGGGCTGGGCCCTGGGGAAGGAGGCATTTCCTGGAAATGTGACAGGGGTGGATGAGGGGAATAGCATGGAGGAAGGCCTGGGGGGGGGGGGGCGGGGAACACAGCAGGAGGAACCCACTCCTCAGAGAGCTCCCAGCTGAGATGCCACCAAGGCAGTAGGGACATTGCCCCGGCTTGATCAGTACAGGTGACAGCCCCGTGGAGAGCACCCAGGCAGGAGCCTGTCAGCCACACAGGCTGCACAGTGCTGGGAGGGCTGCCCCTGCCTGGTCTCAAGGACCCCAGGCTGGAGCAAATAGCCCGGAGCCCAACTTAGACCCCCAGTCCATTCTATTGTGTCTGGAGCTCTGTCAGCTAGCAGAACAGGAGATGTCACCTCATCTGATGCTGTCCACTGCAGCCCAGCCCCCTCCCCACCAGGCCAGTCCCTCCACGCCTCACCTACACCCTCATTCTCCCGAAAGCGCCAGCTAAATGGAAGAAGCTAAACCAGGCAGCTTTGAGTGTGTGGGCTCAGACCTGCAGCCCTGTGTCCTCAGTGTCCCACAAAGCTGAGAAGAGAAAATGAAAGAGAAAACCCAGCCCAGAGAGACATGCCATGGGCAGAAGGGACTGGGGTGCTGAGTGCCAGGAGTCTCACCACGTCTGGCCAGGGCTGCGGGAGCCTAGGGACTCAGGAGTGTGTAGCAGATAGGCCAGGGAAGGAGAATCATGGCAGACAGCCAGGACAGCAGCCAGGGCTGGGTACCTCCCTCCGCTTACCCAGACGCACCCCCCTACCCGCACCCAGCTCCCTCTCCTTTCCGTGCTCATCATAAAGGGAGCACAGGTCCCAACTGCTGCCAAGAAGTACACACAGAGAACATTCTTCAAGAAGGACGCCCTGTCCCAGTGCCTTCTCCAGGAATGCAGGAATGTCTGGGATGAAGGCCACCAAGGCCACCAGCAGCAGTGGACACGGGACCCAGCCGGGGGTGGGGGGTGGGCCAGAAAGACCAGCCCAGGGGTGGGGTAGCAGGACCCATGAAAAGGACACGGGGTCCATGCCCAGCCCACTCAGCCATCCTGCTGCAGGCCTGGCACCAGCAACACATGCCTTCCTGCCTAGCCAGCCAACCCCTGTGGGACCTAGGAGGTGGGGGAGAACTTGGTGTCAGGCCAGCTTCCCTTAGCACCCGAGTCCTGGGTCCGGAGTGGGCAGCCAGCACCCAGGACTCCTCCTATAGAGGTCCCATGCAGACCCAGGAACCACAGCTCAGTTGTTCTCTCCTGCAGAGCAAGGCACCTTATCAACAGGCACTGCTTCAACTGTCAAAAGCCAGCGAGCAGCGACCAGGGCTGCCGTTGCCCCAACCTGCACCCTACTTTTCCCAGCCCAGCATCCACCCCAGCTGTCCCTCCCAGAGGCCCCCTCTCCACCTGGCTCTCCTTCAAACGCAGCACCTCAGGGTGAGCTGAGAAGTTCATCCAAGCCCCTACCAGGACCATCTCAAAGCCATCTTCAGGGTCAAATGACCACTGCTCTCTTGCTCCCCAAACCCAGGCAGATACCCGAGGCACCCCCAGCACGTCGTCCAGCTCCGCAAGCAACTGCATGGTCAGTGGTGGGTCTCTGCATGTGGACTCATCTTTACATCAATCCATTTATTGAAAATATCACAGGAAGTACAAGACCAGTCCCCCTCCCCCCCCCTCAGCAATAAAAGATGCGCAGAAAAACATGTCACTGAACCAAACAGAGCGCTGGCATGGTCAGGAATCTGACACGCCCATGTCTTGCTCCCCGGGTATGGGAGGCCAGCGGGAATGCCAGGGGCCTCAGAACATGCCAGCACCTGGACAAGACTCTCCTGGGCATAAAAGGATGACAAGAAACCTGGAGAGTCTTTTTCTCACTCCGATTCCATGCCCTGCACCACCCAAATACATCTTAAGCAGACCAGGACAGGAATGGGACAGCCGGATCACACACTCTCTCTGCCTCATACTGAACATCACCAGGAAACACAACCCCCAAGCCCTGCTACTTCACACCACCAAGGCTCCTCAGACCCCTTCCCCCAGGGAACCTGCTCCCACACCAAGGTCCAGAAAGTCCTGCTTGGCATGCTGCCCTGCCAGACCCGGGGGTCACCGCTGACTCAGGTGGGACACCAGGTAGACCAGGCCCACGAGCAGCAGGCCCCGGACGCCGAGCATCATGAGCAAAAAGAGGAGCAGGATGGAGGTCACAGGTTCCACAGCGTGGTTGCCCAGATGCCACTGTGGGAAGCCCATGTGCACCAGCTGCCGGTTGAGGTCGTGGAAGGGGGACAGCGCAGCTCCCAGCCTGGCACCTGCCTGCTGCTGCTGCTGGCGGGGACCAGGGCCTCCTGGAGCGGCCCCGTGGCCCCTATGGAGAAAGCCCTGGAAGGTGAAGAGAGAGATGAATGGATCCTGAGAAAACTTCCTGTGGATGAGGCGTGTGAGAGCCACGCCCTCCCCCTACCACAGCCTCCTTCCCAACAACCCCCAGATGCTGCTCTTGAGAATCCTAACAACCAGGTTGCACAGTCTCAGAGCACAGAATCTACTGGTGCAGCTTCCTTCACCTACACTGCAGGGGAAGGCACCCAGAGATGAGAGCAGTGATGGAGGTAGCTGGGACCATGGGGCACATCTCCACTGACTCTCCAGCCTCTTCCCCATCCAACAGATTAAAACGAGGAGGCTTGCTCCAGCAAGGTTTGCAAGCCAGGTTAAAAAAGACAGAGTTCTGGGGCTGGTGCAGTGGCACAGCAGGCTAATCCTCAGTCCTGTGGTGCCAGCATCCCATATGGGCACTGGTTTGTGTCCCAACCACTACATTTCCCATCCAGCTCCCTGCTTATGGCCTGGGAAATCAGTGCAGGATGTCTCAAGACTCTGGGACCCTGCTCCCATGTGGAAGACCTGGAAGAAGCTCCTGGATCCTGGCTTTGGATAGGCTCAGCTTCAACCATTGCAGCCACTTGGGGAGTGAACTAGCAGATGGAAGATCTCTCCCTCTGTGTCTCCAGCTCAGCTAAGAGGCTTTGAGCTAGAGAATGGTCATCAAGAGAGACTTGTGGGAGCACAGAAGGGTCAAGCACAGGGCAGACCAGGCAGGGCGGGCTCCTACCTGTCGGGAACCACCGCTGCCTCTCGCTGCCGCTGCAGGAGCAGTGGTCCTCACCCGGGGGTCATCGTCCTGCACAATCTCCCCATTGGCCAAGATCCGCACCATCCTGGCAGCGGCTGCGAGCCCTGGTAGGGTAGCACCTGCAATGCAAGCCCAAAGCTGGGAGAAGCAGCCTAAGAGAAGCCAAGTGGCCTAGAACTCCCTGCCCCCACCCCACCTGCCCCTCTAACCCCCACTTTCCTACTGATCTGGGACCAGGATCACACCTAGGCTTGGGAACGTATGTCCTGACCTCAACAAGCCAGTAAGCAAGAAGCTGTCCACCAGCAAGGGAGGGATGTTTGCTTCTGCTGCCAAGTTCACGTGGGTCAGCTCTCCCAGGTGCTCCGTCTGATCAGTAAAAAGGAGGAACAAATGTTGCCAGACAAAAATCTCAGATACTGAGTCCTCCAAGGAAAACCACAGCAGGGAGTCCTGGAAGAAGATCTGAGGGAGCAGGCACCAGCTGGGAAGACCTGGGGAGTACCAGGCAAGGGCCCGACACACAAACAGCGCAGCAGCCCCCAGCACCACCATCTCAACTGCCCTTCTGCTCTTAAACCAGATCTGGCATGCTGTTCCCGGGGCGAGGCTAAGGGCTGGGCCCTCACCGCTCCCCACCACGCACCCCAGAGACCCCCGCCTCCCGGGGCGACTTTAGACCCACCGCGGCCACCCAGCCCCGGAGAAGGGCCGACCTGGGCGCAGAGAGCACGCCCCTCACGTGGCCCTCCCCTCTCAGGTAACACCTGTCCAGCTTACCCGACACAGTGCAGACCTCCCTCCCTCACCCCTCCCCCGTTCCGCCCAATGCATTCCCAAAGCACGCAATGGGAAAGTCTCCATTCCCCGCGCCCCAACGGTTGCCCAGGAGCCGGAGCCCCTGCCACGGCCGCTGCCGGCAAAGGCCACTCCTGCCCGCGGGGTGGGCCTCGCTTTTCGCGCAGCACAAGGGGCGCCCAGCCCGCGCCCTCGGGCGGCGTTCTCCACGTTCGTTCTACATTGTCATCCTCCCCGCCCGGTGTGCCCGGGCCTCGGGGGCACCTGACAGCCCCCAGGGCGAGCCGCCCCGGCCCTCGGCGCCACAGGCCGCGCCGCCTGCAGCCGCCCCGCGTCGCAGCCCCGGCCCCGCGGCCCCCACGCGCGGACACCCACCTGCGGGGCCTGCGGCGTCCACTTGGCGACGGCGCCCGGGCCGCTTCCTCCCACCTGACCTCACAGGAAGCGCGCGCCGCAGGGGCGCGGCCGGGCGGCGATCGCAGCGCCCTCTGCAGGCCTCCGCGGGAACTGCAGCCGCCGGGACCCGGGGCCGGCGGGAAGGAAGAAGAGCCAAGGGCGCTGCCTCAGGTTGGGGGATCGGACCGCTCAGCTCGATTCTCCTGTTCTCTGCGGCTTATCCCGTGTGAGCACAGCTGCACAGGGCTGTTGTGGAGATGGGAGGCAGATACCCTGAGCAGGACAGGTGGTCGTGAGCTTTAACTAGAATCATCCATCAGCAGAGGGTGGGCACATGGTTATGGAATATCTATTAGAGCCCCAAGCCAGCCAGGGTCCCTCCCCATGAACGAGAACTTTGCTGCTCTGCGATTCATCCTGGGTGTGGAGGTGTCTGACAAACCCATCACTCACCAGATGGTCCTGGGTTACACCATCCGCTATGAGCAGGACCCTTGCAGGTGAGGTGCAAGACCCAGCATCCCCAGAGAAGGAGAGGCCTGTGTGGGTTGCAGGAACCCCAGGGAGATATAGGCCAGGAGTGCTTCTGGTTGCATCTGATTCCACAGGGACCCATTCCAGCCTGAGGAGGAAGTAAGAGAAACCCAAATCAGCCCCCTGGGAAAGAGTGGAAAGAGTGTGAACTTAGAAATGGTCAACAGTCTGGGTCACTTTTTCTTCTTCTCCCTCTCTCTCAAGAGTCCCCTGCCGTGAGACTCAGTGATGGCTGCCGGCTGCAGGAGGGGGACTGGGCTTATTGCAGACCCCACACTGTCACTCCCACCTCAGTGACCCGAAAGGGCCACAGGAGCCAGACACATCATGGGACTAGCAGGGCTCCAGCCAGCCAATGATGAGCCTAGACTGACATTCCTTAGCTAGTTGAGGCTTAAGCAGAGGCTATGCCAGCTTCCGTGTTGGAAGGGGTATAAAACCCTCCAGCACATCCCTGTGCCTGCCTTTGTTCCCTCGCAGCCCCCTAGATCTTTCTCCTTCCTTTCTCCTCTTTCCCTCCCACTGCAGAGTAAAGGCCCGAGGGCGGATCCCTCACAAACCTGCCATGGTTCCCTGCAGTCCAACACGACCTCGCTCATTGGCTGGGCTTCAGCACCCTCTGAACTTGCTGGAGCTCAAAGGTAGGGGCACAAGATCTGGGACAGCGCATGGCTGCCAGGTCCTGACAGTGAATATGGCCTCATAGAGTGGAGCTGCTTGGCTCAAATGCAGTGAAGGAATTCCTGTGGCCCAGGAACGACCAGGAAGCAGTGGGAAAGTTGCTGGGAGAGAAAGGGTCAAAGTACACAGGTCCAAGAGGTGGTTCAACGGAGGGCAGCAGTGCTGGACAGGTGATGCAGGGCCCTGAGAGAGAACAGAAGCCTAAGAGAACACCTTGCACAGCCTGCAGACTGTGGGACCCGGGACTTGCTGGCACCTAGGTAAGTCTCCAGGACATAAACCCCACCCTGGATGTGTCCACTTGACTAGAGGATGGGCTGCCAGAGAAGGGCATTGAGTGGACAGCCAAACAAGGGGATGAATGGGCTGACCAAGTCAAGTGGGCCTCCCCAGACCAAGCAGGAGCAGGCATTCCTCCTCCATCACTGCTCACACAGCCCAGGATGCGACCTTTATAGGCAAGGTCAACCTTGGCCACACAGTCCCCATGCTGCCATGCTGCCCATGGAAAGAAGAGCATAGGTGAAATGGAAGGCTAGTGACTTCTTTTAAATCAATGCCTGTGACTTATAAAGTACAGATGCTCTTCAACTTATAATGAGGTGATTTCTTCATAAACCTATCAGAAGAGTTGAGGGCTGGTATAGTGGCATAGCATGCCAGTCCTCCACCTGTGGCACAGTACGGGCTCCAGTTTGAGTCCTGGCTACCCCACTTCTGATCCAGCTTCTTATGAATAGCCTGGAAAAGCAGTGGAAGATGGCTCAAAGCCTTGAGATCCTGCACCAACGTAGGAGACTGGGAAGAAGCTCTAGGCTCCCAGCTCTGGATCAGCCCAGCTCTGGCCATTGCGACCATTTGGGCAATGAACCAGCAGATGGAAAAATCTCTTTCTCTGTGTCTCTCACTCTCTAACTCTGATTTTCAAGTCAAAGAAATGAAACTTAAAAAAAGGAAAATGTTGTAAGTTGAAAATGCATTTGAGATACTTAACCTGCCAATAGCCCAGCCTGCCTTCAACATACATAGAGCACATAAAGTGAATCTACAGTTAGACAAAGTCATCACACACAAATCCCGTCCGAACATAAAGTGCTGAATAACTCATTTAGTTTATTGACTGTCAGACTGAAAGTGAAAACCAGAAAGGATGTGTGGGGATGGTTTAACTCCTAGAGTTCAAGGATTGCTTTTGCTCCGTCATAAAGCCAAGAAAGCACCAGTTGAATCATCGTCACTTGGAGCTCCTGAATCACAAATGCCATGCCCAGTCCCTCGTTGAGCTCTCATTTCACCAATTTTCAAAATCATTGATTTCTGCACTGCTATCCTTGTTTCCTTCTTTCTTGCCTTGGATTTATTTTGCTTCTCCCTTTCTAAGTCCTTGAGGTAGGAGCGAAGATGATCGATTGAAGATTTTTCTTCTTTGATATATAAACACAGTTATAAATTTTCTTTTTGGCACCGGTTGAGCAATAGCCCACAAGTTTTGACATGTATTTTCATTTTCATTTAGTGCGGTACGTTTTCACATTTCCTTCACCATTTTCACTTGGACTCCTGGAATATGTAAAAAGGTATTTTGTCTCAAAAATCTTAGCAGATTTTTCTGTTACTGACTTCCAGGTTAATTCCCCTGTGGTCAGAGAACACAGTCCGTGAAAAGGTCATACTTTTTCACGCCTTTGGGTCTTGGCCCAGAATCCTCCATCATACATGACTAAAAAGAAGATATGTTCTGCTACTGCAGGGTGGGATGTGCTGCATGTCAATCATGAAGCATTAGCTCGTGGGTGTTGTTGAGCCCATTTCCTGTCTGGCTCTGTCAGTCATGGAAAGCAGACTGAAGCCTCTAATGGCAGGCTTGTCTATTTCTCCTTTCAGTCCATCAGCTTTATTCCCATATTTCGGAGTGCCGTTATGTGGTGCACACACATTCGGGGTCAAGCTGCCCATCTGGCGGCCTGCGGCGTTGTGTGTAACATCTCTCTGTCTTGGGTACTTCTTGTTCTAAAGCTGACTTACGCTGTTTTCCTCTCATTGATGTTTGCATGGCATTCTTCTTCCGTCACTAGCCTTTCCACTTGCCTACACGGTTAGATTAGAAGAGAATTTCTCATACACAGCACATACTTCTGTCCCGTTTCTTAATCCACTCTGGCAACCTGTCTTTTTTAGACTATTACATTTGACATAATGATTGATCTGTTAGGACCGAAGCTTGCCAACTTAGTTTTGTTACTGCTTCTTTTCTCTAGTGTTCATTTATTTTATTTTCCTTGCCTTCTTGTAGTTTTGTGGTTTTCTTGAACATTCTCTATACTCTTATTTTGATTTATCTACAGCATTCTAAAGTGTATCTCTTTGTATAGTTTATTTAGTGGTCATGCCAGGAATTACATTAAATGAGCATGACTTATCCCAGTCTACTAGCATCACCATTCTAGAATTTTGGGTAAAGAATCTCTTTCTCTTTGCATTCCTTAACTCTCCCTTTATAGCATAATTGTCTTCAGTGTTTCCTCTACATGTATTTAGAGCCACATCAGACAGTGTTGTAACTTTCGCTGTAACTGACAAATCTAAGTTATAGGGCCCCGCTCAGTAGCCTAGTGGCTAAAATTCTCACCTTGCACGCACCAGGATCCTATATGAACACTGATTCTAATCCCAGTGGTCCCACTTCCCATCCAGTCCCTACTTGTGGCCTGGGAAAGCAGTCAAGGATGGCTGAAAGCCTTGGGACCCTGCACCCACGTGGAAGACCCAAAAGATGTTCCTGTTTCCTGGCTTCGGATTGGCTCAGCACCGACCATTGCAGTCACTTGGAGAGTGAATCGGTGGATGGAAGATCTTCCTCTCTGTCTCTCCTGTTTGTATACCTGCCTTTCCAATAAAAAAATAAAATAAAATAAATAAAATAAATCTTTTAAAAAATATGTTATAAAATTCAAGGGTAAAAAGAAAGTCTGTTGCATTTACTCAGATGAAAGTCCCCTCTTTCTGTCTCTCCTTGTCTTTGTAAATCTGCCTTTCAAATAAAAATAAATAAATATTTTTTAAAAATGAAGGGCACAATAAGATTCAGAGCACAAATTATGTGTATATATGAAAGCAAATAAATTATTCTCT